TCTCTCTCTCTCTCTCTCTCTCTCTCTCTCTCTCTCTCTCTCTCTCTCTCTCTCTCTCTCTCTCTCTGGTATATGGTCGTTGTTACAAACAAATTCATAAACTCTGGCGGCAATCCCAAGGCAGAAACAGAAACAAAGAAAACCTAACTCTCTCACACACAAATGCGGTCATCCTTTGGTCCGGTTCGTAGGCTCTGACCACAATCCCAGCACATCCAAAAAAATGAAAACGAACAGATCACACGACAGAATACTACAATACTAAAAAACAAAACCTCTCACCAAAAACGGCGACGCAACAAAAACGATCTCGACCCACATAATGTACCAAAACCCATACGTCACAAATGCCGAAGGCTTGGCCAAGTTACCCAAGATTATTGAACACCTGAAAGCAGAGTCTGTCTCTCAGACCATCGGATACGACAACTTTCCATCGAGGACTCACCCTCTTCCTATACAAACTGAACGGCAACTTTCGACCACCCATATCACGCACCCACTCTCTTTCAACATAGAAAGCAGAAGCACGATTGTACGAAACTTGCCCCCACACTCTTTCAGCATAGAGAACAGAACCACAGTCCTCCAACGCACCTTCCCATCACAACAAATCTGCCATCATCCGACGAGGAAACAAAGACAGGTTGTAGAGCTCCAACGAGGAAACAAACGAAGCACCAAAACGCTGCCACTCACCCCCCACAAAATGAAGCAAGACCTCCAGACAAGCGCTCCGAGACAGCATACAATCCAACAGAAACAGCTTGACATCTGACGAAGCTTGAGCAAAGCGGCCCAGAAAGCTGCGGGCAACAAGCAAGAGCCCACTATGCAAGCGAAATCCATCATCCTGTAGAGTTGCATATCTAAGACCAGCGAAGGTCCCAGCAAAAAGGGAAAAGGAAAAAAAAAATCTAAAAGACCCGGAAAAAAACTATGTTATGCAGAAAAATAAACTAAACAACTTTTTATTTATAAGTTGGGAAACGGGCCCAGCGTCCCTCACATATATGCCGCGGCCTAGGGTCACATTGAATTCCTTACCAAATTTAAAAGGGATAATTTTTGGAATGCCCCTCAAACTTCCATTTATTTGCGGTATGCCCCTCAGACGACCAACTTACCCTGTAGTGCCCCTGGGGCCTTTGAAGTTTCCTTCATGCCCCTGTCAATGAGGGGTGCAACTTTCCAGCATGCCCCTGTGGCTGTTGTGTGGCACTTGAGGCCGTTCCCCTGGCCCTGGGAGGGGAGCTACCGGGGCATATTGGAAATTTGGAACCTGTACTGGTAGGGGCATATTGAACATATTTCAGGGCCCAAACAACACCAGGGATTTTTCGGAAACTTCAATCGTTTCAGAGGGGTGCGACAGGGGGGTAAGTCGGCCGTGGGAGGGGCATACCGCAAATAAATGGAAGTCGGAGGGGCATTTCAAAAAATTTTCCAATTTAAAATGAAAACTGTTTTTTTCTTTTTTCTTTTCTTTTCTTTTCTTTTCTTTTCTTTTCTTTTCTTTTGGCCCGGCCGGGCGGGTGGTCCCGGGCCACTCTTTTGCGCTTCAAGTTTTTCTAAGTGCTTCGACTTCGAGTGTTGTCTACACATAACTTCGTCTGCGTGTGACTCCTGTACCTTTTTGTGTGTACCATATATTCCATCACATCTACTACGTCACGTGTGAAATGTCTTGGAGCAAACTGAGATAAGTGAGCTCGACTGCCTACTTCGTAGGCTGCAACTAGTTTTGCAAGTTTTCTGGGGAGTTGTGTATTCATTACTTCGGAGCGCGGAGTATGGCAGGCGACGGGCCGCGGAATAGCCAAGGCGACAACATTAATGGTGGAGGAGAACGTGATCGAGATCGTGATCATGACCGGGGTCGTAACTGGGATCGGGAACATGATCGAGATCGGGAGCAGGATCGTGACCAAGACCGGGACCCCGATCGCAATCAGCGGCGGGGCCCGCCCATGTGTTTCAAGTGTGACAAGATCGATCATTATGCCAACCAGTGCAGTTGGTTTGACACGCCGTCAACTTTAAGAGATTCCTACAGAGGACGTTCGTCTTCACCTCGACGAGGTCATCAGATGAAATCTTCTTCATCTGGTGAGTCGCGTATAACATATGAGATCGAGAAGCTAGGACGTAATGTCGCTAGCTTGTAGGAGTACATTCAACTCGAACGCTCGGAGAAGGACGAGAAGGACGCAAGGAGGAAACCGAAGGAGTTGGCTAAGCAGCGCGAGGAGGAGGAAAAGATGGAAAGGGAGCGGCAAATCGCCCGTAAGGCAGAGAAGGCGAAGAAAGCGGAGGAAAGGAGTTTGAAATTGGCAAAGAGTGTTGACCTTCAACTGTCTTTGAAGATCGGAGAACCACGAGTTGTGTAAGGTTATCAAGGGCAAAACCAAAGCCAAGGCGCCTGCCTCTTGTGCAAGTGATAGCGACTCTGATGGTGGCAGCGATGACGGGACTGAGGATCTAAGCGCAAAGACCGTGCGTTTAACGATCAGTGAGAAGAGGAAGAGGGGGGTGGAGCTCGTTTTTTAGGATAGCCCCCGTATGGTTATTCCTCCAAAACGTACACCTATAAGGCGCTCGGGGTTAAAACCTATGAGGTTGACCCTTCGATGTAAGTCAAGGACACCGAAGGTGAAATCTCGTACTAAGGCGGAAGGGAAGAGTCGTCTGGCTTCCAACCAAAAGATCCCCGCTGAATGCGGTCAAGTGGGGCGTTTTCGCTATCTTGATTCAGTTTGGCGTGATCTGATTGATTTGGATGCGAAAGCTTTGGAAGCAATGTGCAAGAGCGTTGGTGTCGAGTACCGGGACAAGATGAACACAATTTTTGGTATTGCCGACCAGAAGGCCGTAGAGGCTTACGACTTGGAACATGAGTCTGAAGCAGCGGTGAAAGCTTTGACGGTGGAAGAAGTTGAAGTTGGAAGTGGAAACGAAGATGACGAAGACGTTGAGGCCGAAACTACTAACCGTGAGTAATGGTGCGTGACTCTGCGGCGTCTGTTCCTTTACCTATGTAATGTTTGAAAGCAGTCGAGCGGGGGCTGCATTAGGGTTGGACGGTGCAGCAGACGGCAAGGGTTTGTCGGGGGTTACGCTGCCGAAATTTTGACTTGGTGGCGGTTTCTTTTAGAGGGAAGTGCTGCCATTTTTTTTGGCATAGCGGCAACGACACTGTTGGTGGGGAGATGTTGTCGGACCGCTGCCGCGACAACAGGACCTTCCTAAGGGAAGGCGCTGTCAGATTTTGCCGCGTATTGCCGTGTTTTTTTTTAATGTAAGAGTGGGGAAGTGTTGCTCGATCAGCGGCACGGCAACAACAGTGTATCCAGTGGGATTATGCTGTCGAAATTGGCGGTGGCGTCAATATTTTTCGCGTAAAGAAGTGTTGTCTGGTTGGCGGCACGTCAACGACGTTCCTTTTCTAAGGGCCAGCGTGCCAGAATTTTGCGACGCGGTGAATTAGTCATTTGGAACAGTGATCAGGTGGTGGTGTCGCACGGCAGCCGTGGTACCGACTTTGACGACGTGGTGAGCGGCAATTTCGTTTTTAAATTTTGTGTTGCGCGGTGGTTGTGGTGGATTCCAGTGCGGCCTGGAGGTTGGGCTGACACTGGTGCACCATTGGGTCTGTGCGACAGTTGTGCGTGGACCAGTGACATGAAGAACGTACAAAGTGAGTGTGCACGACAGTGATTATTGAGCACGCGGCACATGCAGTTTTCAGCCAGGGCCACCTTTATTTTTTTGCGGTGCGCAATGCGAGCAATTTTGAAATCTGGACCATCTGGTGTTGCGAGCAATGATATGGGACTACCTTGGGACCATCAGGGCTCGTTTTGGGACCAAGTGGGATTAATTTGAGATCGGGACCAGCATATTGGTGTGGCTACTGTGAGCGGACGTGGTGCTGGGAGGTGGCGTGGACTTGCCGCTGGTTGGGAAGTATCGTTGGTGGTCAAGGTGCAATTGAGACTGTGCTAGGACGGTACGGGACGTTGGGATGATATGAGATTTAATCATGGGAGCGCCCTCTTTGAGGGTTATCTCATTCAGACGTCTCAGTGGGCCCAACCTTGGTATGATCGGGCACTTGCAGAAGGAGGCGGACCGTGATTCAGGAGAAAGACCACGAGTTGTGGAGTTGTGGCCTCATAGTTTGGACTTCAATGACGGTTACCCTTTACTCTAATTGAAATATTACTCGACTTTCTTGAGTGAGCCGATTCAAACTTCACTTAAGGCCAGTCAGTTGAATGATTCAGATTTCCTTTCACACTTGTGTGAACCCACACTTTGCTTGACCCTGTTGTTTTGAATGTTCAGAAGAAAAGGTAGAGGAAAGTTGTGCGAGTCATGCATGTGAACGGAAAGGTCTGACTTGCGTATGGGATTGTACTGGGTTTCTTTTGAACTTGTTGTCTTTGCGTGTTGTGCAGGTAGGTAGAAGGATGTTGTAAAGGACAAGTTTGATGGTGTCTACTCGAGAAGACGAAAAATATTGTTTTCTTTCTACCTTCCGACTGCCTATTTGTCAAAAGGACTTGTAGTTTTGAAAAAATATTAATTCATTGTGTGTCGTAAAATGAATGCAATTGAAATAAAGCAGATAGGTCAAATGAATTTAGTATTTTCCCAGGATTGACCCTTTCTATCCCAAATGACCTTATCTACCTGTACCTGTCCAAATGATTTTTATTCTCCATCTCCTTTGATTTCTTTTTCGTCTAAGTTACCCTGAACTTAGGAGAATTGAGAATATCTGAAAGCTATTTGCAGTGGACAAATTCTCTTTTTCTAGGAAGCATCTGGGGTGGGGGTTCGTTGCTTTAGGAGCCGACCCTGTTATCGACCCAGAGTGGACCGTTCTATGGGGGGGTACTTGCCGATTCGGTGGAGACGGCCCAACTTCTGAGATCCGAGCTTTGCGCTCGGGCGAGGAGTGTCCCAAACCACTTCCTAGAGGGAGAGGCATGCAACACTTCAAGCAATGCACCTGATTAAGAATTATTCGCAAATCACCCTGTCATCCAAGAAGATTGGGAACATATGGAGATGGATGTGTGCGTGTCTAATAGGGTGCTCGGGCGAGGAGGAGGAGTGCCCCAGACCACTTCCTAGAGGGAGAGGCATGCAACACTTCAAGCAATGTACTTGATTAAGGATTATTCGCAAAACACTCTTTCACCCAAGAAGATTAGGAACATATGGAGATGGATGTGTGTATGTCTAATAGGTCAGCAGTGGGGTGAAATGAATGACTTTGGCAGCGTATCTCATCAAGTCAAAACTAAGGCAACCGATTACCTTGTTGACTACATCAATATTATTGTTGGCCACCAACTCCTAGTTGGCGGTTGTATGATTGTTTCGTGGTGTTCGACATGAGGTGGTCGGATTGTATTTCGATTTTGTGTGATTGGATGTATCAAATGATGATTTGAATTCTTTCAATTATCATTTCAGATTGAATATTTATTTTTATTGACTACGATCGATTCCTTTTGATGTAAATATTTATGGATGTTATCATTTTTGTTTGACTTTGTCTAAGGGACTAGGATAATTTTTGGGTTTCACGCTTGGTTGAGACCGTCCCAGTCGACCGGCGTACACTTTGTACTAAAGAGATCAGTGCCCTAAGGGACGGACAACACTCGGGTCCTCTTGGCGTTAACCAAGTGTATCTATACTACAACATGCGAGCAAACGCTCTAGACTGATCTATCTCTGCGATTGCATATAAAAGTTTTCGCACGTGGGTCAGTAGCTCGGTAGGGATACGCCCCTAAGGGTGGTGACAGCCCCTTAGGGAAGGAAAGCTTATGCCCCGCGGGAACCTATCATGTCGTAGGGGACCGCGGGATGTACAACTGGTGCACCCGGCTAGAGCGACAAAGGGACGATGCTACCGCGGCCGTCTCAGCGTCCCGCGAGATATTTTGTGTCGTTCCCAAATTGTCTCTTGTTTTTTTTCGTTCAACTCCTGCGTGACATGGTCGGGAGGGCTCCCTCCTTTTGCAAAAAAAGGGGGGAGCCGATGCACTCGACAATGTAATCGTAAGAAGTGTCCCGCTGGGAAGAAGGAACGCATTCGTAAACAGTCCCGCCCTACGGTTGAACGTAGTCGGACCCTTTATCCTGTTAGGGTACGATTGGACGATCAGGATGTCGAAACTTTACACGTAGACGACCTTTTAGTATCTGCCTTCGACAGGAAAGAACAAAAGTTCTCCTTATCCTTTTCAGGGGGTAACTCACGGCATGTGATTGTCAAAGATTTCGTCAAGTCCACTGTTCAGTTTGACGACTGTAGACGTTGTTTGAGTGAATGTAACTAGCTTTCGAGGTGGGTGGAAAAATTGAAATTTTGTTTTTGTGACGATGGAGACCTGCTAGTGGGTCATATAAGGGATTTCAGCTTCGATTTTACGGAACCGTAGGCAACTTGATGGTATTTTTTCCTGGCGAATCAACGATTTGCTGAAGTTGTATAATGTTGTGAAGGAGTTTAGTCGTGAGTTTACTAGGCGGTATCTTCGTCGCTTGTTGGGAAGAGTTTTTTGTATCAAGCATGGTATTTTCGTCAATTCCGATTTGGTTGTTCGTATCGGTTTTGATGACCGAATCAAACTTTCTGAAGTAAGGAAGGTCATCAATGACCAATTAATGGAATGTGGGTTACCCTCGTGCTTTGCTAAGCGTTCGCATCGGAATATTCACATAGTTTGGACTAAAAATTGGACTGTAGGTGATATTCTGCGCAATCAGAGGTCATTTGCCTCTAAAAGTGTGCTTACCTGTAACTGTTCAGGTTTGTTTGCTCCTACGAAGAATGGACACGTGCGCTTCCGTTTGAGTAATGTTGAGGGTTTACATCCATTAGTTAGCAATGCTGAGAATATTCCTGTCGAAAGAAGGGACGGCAAAATGGTGAGTTTGAAGAACGGGATTTAGGAAGGTTTTATGTATAATGGAAGAACTATGGGGTTTCGCCTGATGTTGAGATTGAGGGGCTCTCTTCTTGTCTGGTCACCGGAAAGGATATGCCAAAAAAAGCGCTCCCGTTTGCTGATGTAAAAAACGTGAAAGAAAGATTCAGTGGGATGGTCATGACCCTCTTGACCCTAATCCTGGTGAAACACTTGTGCTCTGTCCACTACTGTATTATGAAGCAATGATGAATACTTTCTTGCGTAATCCAAGGTACATGGTGGTCGACCAAACGGAATATTGTGTTCTACGGACTTTTAAGGAGGAGGTTGCACGGATGGGGTTGACTCGCTTTGTGAAGATGGAGAAATCAGGCTCGTTCGACAACTTGTACGTGATGTCGAAGCATAAGGACATAGACCGATATAGACCGAGCTGTCCAACGTATAGTGAACCTATGGTAAGGACAGGAAGGGCTGTGTCGAAAGCTTTGAACCATATGCTTTTTTGCTTGCCTAAGAACTGGCACTTCAACTGACCCGCCGTCTCCTTATTGGCTGATAGACTTAAGTCTATACATTCCAAGATTGACCGACTGGATGGGGATACGCAGGTCACTGCTTTTTCCTACGACATTAAGGAAATGTTCAGTCTTCTTCCGCATGAATGCATTCTGGACGCTGTCAATTGGCTGATCTTTGTGTACTTTCAGAAAGGAAAGAATTTTGTACGTGTTAATATACGAGGGAGGGGTGCTACTTTCGGACTCTCAACAGGAGGTGACCACTGGAGAAAGCTCGATTTGGGGGACGTCCGGGATTTTGTGCACCTGGAGCTTAAACATACGTATACCCATGCAACTGGTGTGTTGCTGAGACAAGTTATCGGAATACCAATGGGGAAGAGTACGAGCCCCCCGTTGGCTTGTATCATGTGTGCATTTGCCGAGTTTCGTTTTTTGTCCACTCTGGGTAGGAAGAACACTTTGGTCTTTGGTACCAGATTAGTCGACGATGTGGGCCTTTTTATCGCTCACCCATTCGGGTCCGATGTGACCGGCATTCGGGAGGCCTTTGAACGATGCTATCCTGATAACCTGACTCTCGAGCGTACGGATGAGGGGAGTAACCAGTGGGATTTTTTGGGCTGTCAAATTCGAGTGTGTCAGACATTTTCGTATGTCAGCAGTGTCCAGTTATCTAAGAACGAACATTGTATCTGGACAGATGATGTTTTGCAGATCCAGAACGGCCAGTCCTTTGAATCGTGGGGCAGTAAAAGCCAGAAAAACGCAGTAATTGGTAGTCATCTACACCGTATTGATCAGAATACTACAGTCCGAAGTGAAATCCCAACTCGCGTTTTGACTTTGAAGCGTGAGCTTCGTTTGAAGGATTTTCCTAGGGATTTATTCCTAAGGGTGTTGAAACGCTTCGCCTTTCGTAAGGATAGGATTGGGACTTGACGATGGAACTGATTGAGTCCGCTGTGTAATTTTGATCATTTTGAAACGTAGTCCTTAGCATAGTGACTATTCTCTGTCAGTTTCATCTCTTTCTTCGGACAGGGCCTTTTGGTTTTTCCGTTTTTTCCTTTTTCAGAGTACCATGGTATGGTGGTTTTGTGTGGTTTGGTCTGTGGCTTTGATCACTAGGCAGCACCTGGACAATTTGTTGTTTAGGGCCCTTTATGGGTTTTGGATTTTATCATTTTACAGTACGTTAGTGTAGGCTTTGTCCGATCTTGCCCAGGTCCAGGGGATGTGTTTGGGTCTTTTGTGTGATATCCCGCTGGGACCACGGGCCTCTATTTTTGACTTAGTTGTTACCAACTGACCATAAGGAACCATGAGTCAGAGTACTTAATCTCATTTTACGAGTTGTTTTTCCTCATTCAGGACCGACGCGTTTACAGCGTCAGCATTTTCGGGAATGCCGATGAGTAGTAGCGCGGAGGGTTAATAGTGGAATTGACTCTTGTACGCTTTTGAGTGTACCGCATATTCCTTAGCATACTCCATCGCTTCCACTCCGGTAGCCTTGTTTTTTTTGGAATTAGGGTTTTTTTTTCCCCTGGGGACCTTTGGCCCTTGCACGGCCGGGCTGCCCCAGGCAAACAAGGTGATTCGGGCAGCCTGGCTGGTAGCCTAGCCAAAAACTCTAAAAAATCTGAAAAAACATTATGGTGTAGATATTGCAAAGGTGGACATATGGTCCTCTCCAAATCCGCAACAGACCGGTAGATTTAAGAAAGAAAGAAAAAACGCTGAGTAAAAGTGACCTCTTTAGACCCCTCTGAGGGCTGTGTGTGTGTGTGTGTGTGTGTGTGTGTGTGTGTGTGTGTGTGTGTGTATGTGTGTGTGTTATAGATTCTCACCACAACAGCAGCCCCTCTTCCACCCAGATGAGTAGATCCAAAATCGAAGCAGCTTTACCTCTACCGTTTTCACCTGCATACAACATACGCTCATTATTGCTGTATCTAGACTCGAAGTTGCCCCAAATACAGCTATAATGACCGTACCTTGTATTCAGGTGAAGATGGTAGTGCAGACAATGAAGCACACTAAAGATGAGCCAAGCCAACAATTTTAAATCGGTAGCAAGCTGTTGCAACAGCTGCTGCAGCTATCACAACCACTGCTGCAGTAATAGCTGCAGCAGCGGTTGCA